CCTCTCGATTTACATGATTTTGTGGGGTTCTCTGGATCAAGAGAATAGTGAACCATTTTGAGAGGTCACCTCAGGCCGCTTTCGGGAAAAGGAAGCTCATCATTGGTTTCTTAATCACTCTTTCCTGATTCTACATTTCTCATTTGCTTGTAGAGCTGAGTGAATATAACCCTTGCCAGAAGAGCATAAGATCCTTGAGAAAATTGTCACAAGTTTTATTTTTTAAAAGTTTAAGACCTTGTTTCAATGATCTTTGAAAGACCATGAACTTTGGTTTCCTTAGAATCGAGTCATTAGATTGAAGTTGAGTATGAAAATCACAGAGCCATATACAGAAACAGAACTCTTGAGCGTTAAACTAATAAAACCTATACTTAATGAATAAGATCAGACTTATGCAGATACATCCTCTAAATTCTTGCTACTCAAAGTGTGATTCTCGAATTAGCACCATCAGCACCTGGTGGTTTATTAGAAATATAGGCCCCAACGCAGACCAACTGAATTAGAATATGAGTTTGATAAAATCCCCAGGTAATCTTCAGTGACATTGAAGTTTTATATTCATTGCTTTAAATGACAGCCTTTCTCAGAGTTTGATAATAGCCTAATCAATGGTATTAATAAATCTAAAAATAATGTGCTGATAGGAGAGGGTTGATTGGAACATTGTCTACTGGAAGCGGGATAGAATTTGAAAGTTTATCTGATACTGTCCAGAGGTGAGAGAGTCACCGTGGGGACCCCCTGAGAGAGTCACTAGGGACTTGAGGCTTTATGTGGATTATCAGGGTCTCTCCCAGCTCTCCAGGGTATGAGCGAGCTATCCCTGCAGCTTCCCCACTGCCCTTTCTTCTGCTCTTTCATCCCACATACCTCTTAGCTATACTTTGGTTTTCCTTCTAGCTTTCCTTCACAAAGGAATGACCCTTATCATTGTGTCTGAGAGAGCGCTCGTCTTTTGGAGTGTTCTGTACTTCTCATTAAAATACAATAAATTGCCTTCTCTTAATGCATGAGCTATAAACTGTAGTATCCACTCTATAGATTTATTTCCAATTACAAATCACTACATTAGCATCCTTGTGACTTTGTAAATATGGCATGCTTTTGGTTTATAAATGTCCATGTAAGAGAGACTGATTTTAAGGGGTTACTAATAAAATTATCAATGAAATTCTAGAGGATTAAAACCATCTAGAGGTGCTATCCCCTGGAGGGGCCTGTTTGGGTGTCCAGGGACCTCCTTAGGGGAATTACCACATAGATGGATATTTTGGAAATCACATTAGCTTTTATAATTGATTTTTTAAATTGAAATATAGAAGGACACAAAATGGGAAGGAAAGTATCCTAGAGTTTTATTATTCACAGAATCCTGACTTATTTGGCATATTGCAGCTCACAGAGCACTTCTCTATTCTTTTTTTCCCTTTTCAATGTCAGTGCTTGAAAGTATTGGGGACATTGAATTTTGTGTTCCTATGACACCTCAGAAGTTAATGTGACTCAATCTTTTTCTTTTAGAATGAGGTCTTTTTTTCTAACATTTTATATGATGTTCTCCAAAAAGATCATGCCCTGGTGTCTAGAGCTGTATCCACGAAGATGGAAAATTTCACAGAAACGAATGAAATAAATGAGCTCTTTGACTTATTTACTTACAACAAGGTAAAATCAGTTATATATTTTCTCTAATTTTGCATTCTTGCAGAAAGTTGAATAAAATGGACTCTAAAGGTCATAGACTAATATGCTACTGTACAATTTTTGATACAAATAACCTTAATTTTATTCAGTAGATAGATTTCAGAATATGTGGTTAAATCAGTTCTTATCTAGTAAATATTAATCAAGCCCATATATTAGGTGCTCAGTACCATCTACCATTATAAATAGAGTTAGACATCATGCTACTTTTAAGGTGAACCCTTCTGTTTGGTGCAAATTTATTCTTGCCATGTAGATATCTCAATTAAAAAAAAAATTTGTGTACCCTGAACTCTTTATGGGTAGGACATTTGCTCACCTTTTACCTATTAATTAGTGTCAGTCTACTATTTTATTAGCATATTTTGGAATAACTGAAACGTTCAACTAAAGTGCATGATGCAGTCAGGATCACAGCCCAGAATATTGCTTATCAAAATGGAATGTGTCAGTATTTAGATATGAATTCTGTTCAAATCATAGACAACTTGTTGTGTCTTAGGGAGCGTCTGTGGCCCGGATGCTTGCTAGTTTCCTGAATGAGAATTTATTTATCAGCGCACTTAAGGTGAGTTTACCTGGAATTTTTGTTACCTGGAAAGCAGTCTACATAAATGCTTTGGCATGTGATTTATTTCACCTTAACTTTTCTATTTTTGCAGTCATATTTGGAGACATTTTCTTACTTAAATGCTGAGCAAGATGATTTATGGAGGCATTTTCAAATGGTAATTGTCCTACTTCCTGACATGTTTCTATTGAGTTGTTTTGTATGACAGAGTTCTACAAGATTGGCGGCCATTGCATGTATGGCAGTGCCCCTGGAAAATAATTTTGCCTTGTTTGTGTAACTCCCTTAGGTCGGGGCTGTTTCTTTAGTCTTCACCTTTGTATTCCCATGCCCAGAAGAGAGCCTGCACACAGTATATCCATAAATATGTGTCAGTGAATGAATAAGTGAATGAATTCAGGAACCATTCAGATAATAGGTAGAGTTAAACAGAGTTCTTAATTTGGCTCAGAATATCACCCACTGGGAATGACTATATAGAATAGCTATGTAGTTTCTTTTAGGAGATTACTACCTCAAAAGGTTTTGATGATAAATATCTGCTTTTCCAATGATTTTTTAAAACAGGCCATAGATGACCAGAGTAAAATTATTTTGCCAGCAACAGTAAAAAGCATAATGGACAGTTGGACACACCAGAGTGGTTTTCCAGTTATCACCTTAAATGTATCTACTGGCGTCGTGAAACAGGAACCATTTTATCTTGGAAAGTTTAAAAATCAGACTCTTGAAGCCCACAAGTAGGTAGATTTGCTCCTCTTTCTTCACCTTCCTTGGCATTGAGCTTCCTTGGCAGTGATCAAAGAGAAACCAGCCTGTGGGTGAGAAGGCGTTACCCCTGCTGGCTACACATCCTTCTGCAGAGTGACTCTGGGATGGTGACTTAGGGGTCCTCGCCGGTTGTTACTAGGGTGCTAGGATGAGGCAGAGCCCCTGATGTCCAGAGCAAGGCCAGAGACCTGCATTTAGAGATTCAAGGCAGTGCCCCTCCCTGGGATTCAGGGCCCCACTAGTCACCAGATCTTTGGGTGTCACGTATTCTTTTTTTGTCCTTCGGAGAGAGGTAGTGAATTACTCAGGATTCAGGATGAAAGGCAATAAGATAGAGCCACGGATGACCTCATGTTAGTTAAGAGAAAGGGATCTTGTTGCAAGGTTGTCTTCTCTTCCCTCAATGATAGCTATGTCCTCGAGGAATAGTTCTTTGCATGTCTGCAATGCACACATGTGCATATTTGTAGCCATACCCATAATATTAGAATTATGGACTTCAGATACTGTTAGACCTGGGTTCAGATATTGACTTCACCAAAATTCAAACCTTAGGTAAGTCTCATTTAAAATCTCTGAGTTTTAGTTGCCTTATCTATAAAGTAAATGTAATGACTTGTATCCCAGGAGACGGTTGTAAAAATGAAATGAAATAATGAGTATAAAGAGGCTTAGCCTTGAGTAACTTTTTCCTTCCCTTCCCTTTCTCAATGTGTTAGTTTTCAGCTGTTTTTGATAAAGTTTTGATCCTCATATATGATTGTAGTTAAGTATCAGCACAGATGAGTAACTCACGTTCAAATACCACCACGAACATTTTCAGGTCATCCTGGTCTTTGTTTTTAACACCCCAGGGGAGAGAAACAGGAGACCTGAAGGTTCCTTCTCTCACTGTGTATTCTGTGACTTTTGAGAAGAGGTATTCATAGCTGTCAGATAAAACACAGATCCTCAGTTCAAAGTCTTTGAGAGAGCAGACTTGTAAACATTTGAGCAAGATTGTAAATACTGCCCAAACTCCAAGTCATGTGTCCCTTCAGATAACTACTCTCCTCCCTGTGGTCAGCCACTTCACCCAGGTCACGTCCACCAATGCGGGAAGAATGTCAGCGTTCAGTAAATGTGAATAATCTGGCTGAGTCATGCTGAGCACTCTTCAGATAGGGGACAGCTTGAGGCAGAAAAGCAGTTTGAAATGTTTGTCAAGCTTTTTCTTCTTAAATTACCCTTTAGCCCTGTTGGCAGGGATGGATTTGGGTCTGTCTGCAGCATTTGAACAACCTCTGAGTAAGGCCAGGTGGCTATAATTTAATATAACCAGGCCTTGAAAGTTTCAGACATGAGATAATCTTAGTAGCTACCATAAGTTATAAGACGTAAATCTATAAGACACAATGAGAGAATAAACAAAATGACAAGACAAAACTGGCTTGTGAAAACAACAGTGAATTCTCCTAAGAGCAAAGTCGTACACTTGTTTAGCATAAAGAATATAATCAATAATGTGGTAATAACTCTGTATAGT